TTTTGTTCTTCATTGACTACATCACGGGCTGTACATGACATGGTTTCTAGTGCATCTGGCATAACATCATCCCTCTCTCTCACATCTTAGCTCGCAACACTCGGTAGCTTATCAATCAGTTCATGCCATCTCTGTATTGCAATTTCATTTGAACTTTGACCACGCACTCCCTCCAAAACTCTACAACTGAATTCCGTTCGCCTTGGCACAAACCAATTTTCAACACTGCGATAGGACACAGATTCTGTGCATCTGCAGCCGTTCGTTCATATGCTCAGACGACCATAGACTAACCACGCGATACTGATCATTGCCTCAAACCCTGCCCAATGTGGAAGTATCACTGCCTTGACTGAACGAAACCCTGGATTTCCGCAGTCGGGCTGACACAGAGCGCTCAGGTCGGCGAACTTTAAAGTATTTGGTATCGCCCCCTCCAATTGATTGAAATGCGAACTGAGCTATCCTCGGATCATTGGGCTTATTGTGGTCATGGTGAGAGGTATCCATTGAGCCTATTTATTCGTCCTATATGAAAGGTGTATCACGGCCAGAAAAATAAAATTAACTGCTGGCGGTCAAGAGGGTTGAACATTCTGCGTTATGACGGAAGCCGGATCGGACGTTCGGTTGCTACAGTACTTTCAAGCTTCGTATCAGATAGGATGACTGATTTCTAGGTGCATATTTTACAATGCTGACTTGAGAGTTGTCCTTTCTATTGCGTTTGCATTTGTTGTCTATGTGCGCCACCGATACCACAGTTCGTCCGATTTATCGATGCCAACCACAGAGCTCACGTGTACGGCCGTGTGATCAATATTGATGAACTGTTTTCTTACATCTGTTGATTATCTTTGATATTGGCCATCTCAATAATCGATCATTACGTACATATTAGATTGTTCTCCAACCACGTATTCCCTCCTTATCTTGTTACGGATCCAGCTTATGCCAGTGAAGTGGAGAATGTATCTTGTAAACCCTCAGTAAACGTATTTAAGTTCGGATTAACCACTTGAGATGCAGTTTGGTTCACATAAATCGCTTTATTGTGTAAACCTCATCTCAAAGAAGTGGGATACAACTGTTTAAATGTCAAACATCAGAAACTTGCTGAATTCACACATCGCCCTGCTGCTATGTAGATCAGGCTCTGGCTGTCAGAAGGTTTTGATCGTAAATCCTCAGTAACACCGGCCTCCTCGTGATCAATCTTTCAATATCAGATTAATGAATTGTTCATAGATTGGTTCCTTTTTCAGCAGAATTTGTCTATCTGGATTAGTATTGCAAATTATCTGGGTTCAGTAAATTTTGAAATATAACAAGCCTAAGGTAGCACCCATCTAATGCTGAGCTGTGACCTTCAAATTTTAGTCATTATCGATCACTGTCTAACTGAGAGCATAGACCACATTCACCACAGAGAGACGAACATTCTACATACTCTACATGGATAGCGACAAATCGGGGTTTATTTTGATACCACTATTATTCATTTTGCTTTTTACTGTAAACAAGGTGATTGTGTAGGTTAGTGGCATACGGAATAAAGTGGTTGAATTCGTCCATAAGCGTACGATAATAAATAATGGGAATTGTTGAACATGAAACCTCATAGTAATAGTAATAGTTGTTTTATGCTCTACTTCTGAGTGGAAGAAATGAAAAAATATATTGTATCGTGCCTCATCTGTTCCCCCCACTTGTTGGATGAAATTAATTGTCCCAATCACAAATAATCATTCCTTGATCCACTCACTATCTCTCGAGTTAGATGCGCGTGTCCATTCGAAGGGATAATATGAACATCTGATTCGACCTTTATAGAATGCGAAGAGAATAACGTGAACTTGTGATAAATGATTAGGGAACTTACGGATGCTTGATATGGCTTGGGACGGCGTTATGCCATCATCTTGGGACATTTATCCGAGGCACAATACATACATTCCTGTGTTATTGATTAGCAGTAAGAGAATAATTCGGTTTTAAATCAGGTCACTAATGTTCAGATCATTTCATGTAATCAATGGAATCAACATTGGTTCTCTCCCTTCTTTCCTCAGGGGTCATTTGTTTCGTAAGTTTTACATTAATGTTCTCTAACCTAACGTTGGTTCCCCACAGCTTCACCCTTGATTCACCCCTGTGCATTTACCTGCTATTCGACCTAACTGTGATTTTATACTATCGCACATATCACAGGCTCTTTTGGCATTTGTAACAGATGGAGACATCCGTGACATCGCCAAAACGTCCAGTGACTGGTCGAGCGAGCGGTGCAATAATCTAACTCGTCCTAAGTCTTAGTACAAAGACCAAGAATTTAACGTGCCAGACATAGACGTGAACAATCGCTGTTCGAATATCGGGATCTGCCTGCCACTGCGCGAGCCTAGTAGAAAGACCCCATTATTCGTGTTGACGTGAGACGACGAGTGTTAGGTAACCGTAGTTGATCGCCACTTGGGTTTCTGTCCCGGCGATCGAAGATAATGATAGTGTTGTGAACAGTGTTACCTGCGCATTTGTTCAATCTCATTAGGTATCTGGACTTTTCATAGTTATTAACAATACGCCTGTTATTTGTTGAATCCGGTTCACTCGTTAATTGTGTAGTTCAATAGTTTGGAATCAAAATCTAATACACACACGCACAAAAATGCATTATGATAGTTGTTTAAAACCGCGTTTGTTTCCGAATTAACAATCCACTAACAAGAATACTGCAAGCGGAAGATCAGTTTGTGAAACACGTTCCGGAAGGAGGCTTCAGTCAGTTGAAAGCCTTTGATGAATGGATTTCGCGAGAATGATATTGTTTCACATAGTTTTTTAATTATTCCATTTTCATGTGCTCAATCACCACTTTGGGGCAAACCAGCCGTGCATTCACCGGCATTTGGATATGACTGCAACTTTGTTCGGTCCTAATTTTCTTTTGGCGGCTTGGGGGAGGGCATTTTCGTGAATGGCGTATATAAAAAGAAAGTGGCTTTCTGTCAACTATGATGTGTTCCTTAACCTTACCGAAGGTACGAAGAACTTGTGAAAGGATAGGTCCACTCTTCGCAATACTGATTTGCTTAATTTGCATCAAATCTTGCTGTGTTGGAGTATGTTGGGCGTATGATGCGTTTGTTGAGTAGTATTTTGCGCTATCAATCAAATCTTCTTTTCAATAAAAGTTGTGAAATAAAAATATCCTATTCGAGCGTCTTTGCTTAACTACTTTACGAATATAAAAAATATGTCTGTATTATATTCATAAGTGGAGATAGTGCGGAGGGTGCATTACTTACGATGTTTAGTTATTTCATGTAAATTGATATACCCTACGGTCTGCGGGTTTTTGTACCGATTGCTCCACGAATATCTTGCAGAAGACTTTGGGATCACTGTGTATGGTGTCATCAGACAACCTGGTTCTGTGTCGCCGCCTAGACAGTCATGAGTAATACGCTTCGATTCATCTTTCGCTTGTGTGTTCAGTGTGTCTGGTGGTTTACTCATTGTGCTATTGCATATAGCGCTACCCTCCAAGCGCTCACGAAAAGTGAATTAGAGCAAATAGGATTATGTCTTTTTCACTTTCTCGACGTATGTTGTGGTGATGGTCAGGCGTAGTAGGTCATTAATTAACCGTCAATCTGGAAGTCGATCGTGCGAATCCCACCTTTACCGCTCAAGATTTCTAGCTTCTCTCTGCACGCCGTGACACAGTTATTACGCCGCCTGAGAGTTTTATTCTTATATGCCTGCCCGTTTGCACGATCATCGTCATGTTGAGGGATCCAGTCAGCAGTTGCACGAAAAGCCGAAAAACAGTCTGATCCAAGCAGCTTTGTTATGTTTCGCCGAAAGTGTACCGAAAAATCTCAATTGTTAGGATGAAACGTGTATCACACTTCTGTTCTTTCTTATTACAAACTTTAATGTGATGGACAGAAGACGGGGTAAACCCCTTAGTCACGAGAATCTGCTGTTCAGTGATGGTAAACTACTTGAAAAGGCATAACATAAGGTGTGGTGTTGAACCGGACGACATGAAAGCTGCCTACCATCAAAATTGGGTGTCTGTTACGCGGCTCGGAGCACGGGGTCCACAGCACACTGTTGACAGTGACCAAACCACTGCAGTTCACATCTAAAGTATATCACCCATTCTATCAAGCCCCAATTCCGTCACATGTTGATGGAGATACCATTCTGTTATAGTCCAGGAGAAACGATTTAGAAGCCTGTGGGTTGCTCCTCTCCTCTACCCACACACTTGTGTAAGCAGCCTACCATGTTGCATTTCAATTTGGACAAAGTCGTTCAATATTTGTCCGTATGTATTCCCTCCTTATTTTGTTTCTATTTTTAGTCTTCAAACCAGTAGTGCTAATCATAATCCTGTCACTGCATATTCATTTGCTTTCCTTTATAGCACAGTCGCTTGCTTATGCCGCTTTTGGTAAGTGTTATTTATAGACCTGAATTGCCGCATGACGTCCTGATAGATTTCTGCAGTTGGTATACTTTCATTGCAAATCTTGGTGAATCTTTAGGCCAGGCTTTATTCGTTTGCAGTTTAATAACCTGCACTGGTTTCACTGTACGCCTAAACAAAAATCAATGACCAACATGACTTTGTCATTCAGTTCTTTCATGTATTTTCATTTTTCCGTAGACCGCAGTTAGTCAAACAAAAGTTGTGTTTCAATCTAAGGTAGTTCGTGTGTGAAAATCATTGACTTTTTTGAAGGAATAATTTTAACAACCAGTGAGAGTAGAGGGGGATAAAAACGGTACGAGTTGTTTTGTCACCGAGGATTTCACAGAATTCCTTCACTACACTCCTTGATTAAGGCGCGTTAGGCTCCCTAGATGGGGACATTAGGATGAGCGTAATCAACGGCTAGAGTTGCTGAGTGATATGGTTGAATATCGCAAACAGCAATAATCGTCTATCTTCCTAAGTTTTGTTACTTCAATCAACCGGGATCTTCATTTTCCTTTCGATGCGGCCACCACGCGGAAGCGAGTCGGTAATGGTTGTGCAAACTATAGCTTTATAATGCAAACTGGTAACTCAAATAGCCTCTGCTGAGGAAGCCCTACTCACTGCCTTCTCGTGGCGGAGGTGTTTTCGCACCAAAGTCAGAGGACGAATAGCCGACCTCTGATGCTATAACCGGGTTGGTGGACCACTGTTACTTCACCGAGGGGAGTTGGCCAAAAACCCTGATTCCAAACCAACCATGAGGAGGCGTACGAGCCGTACACACACACACACACTTTCGCGGTCGTGGCAACGGTCATCGGCTCAATTGAGTATCGAGGTGTATTGGGCACATTGGACGTTTGACCCCGTCCAGAGGGCGTATGATCCGACGAATTGGACACTCAAGGATATGGCTGCAAACCGACTGCAGTGGCGTTCTTGTTTTCATTTCTTATCAGGTCAGAATGCTTGAAATGGTATGTACGCAGAGTTCAATTGTGCACTGTGTTGACCATGGAGATTTACCTTATTCCCCCTCCGTCAAAGTAGGTCCAATCCCTGTCCCAATGGATTGCGGTTCTCACACCGCCCCACTGCCTTGCCGGTCAGGCTTTGGCTAGCCAAGGGCTCCGGTTGTGGAAAATTCACCTGCACTAGCCTGGGTAACCTGACAGTATTCAGCCCACAAGCCAATCATGTAACGTTTTTTCTC